CCTAAAGGATTCTATGATTCTATAAACGTGGAATAAATTACACTGAAGATAAGTTTTATTCTTGCTCAGTAGTTGTCATTGCCTAGGAATTGATACTGAACAAGCCCACAAGGGTAGCAATGATGCCTTGCTGAGGGTATGCTTATGATCAGTTATTGTCTCCTTAAGATAGAAAGGATCTCCTTAAGATAGAAACCCAAGGCGTTGTTCAACACATGATATATATATGCCAACAGGGTACCTGTTTGGATACTCCTTGATGATCTGATAAATGCTAATCTGAATGGTTTCATTCTCAAAGCGGTTGTGGCTTCGATCTTTGTATATGCGGAATTCGGCTGCTGTCACTGACTCGCCGTGCGGGATCTGAGTAAGGTCAAAGCGAAACTCTTTGTAGTGCCTCCGCTGGTGAGAGAAGTCCTTGTCCCTTTCAACTGTGAGAAAAAGAGTTGAATGCAAATTAAAGAGGTGAAACGAATGTCCATTTCTCATGATTAATGGAGCGTTCCCTCTGCTTGGGAGTAAACAAACAGGACAATATAAAACTGTGAAAATAATAAAACCACGAGCCCAGACATACTTCCAGTTGAAGCAAATTCCAGCAGCCCAGTGTCATGAGTTCAAAACAACAACAAAAAATACCCCTTGGTGGCTTTTATATGAATTCCAGAAGCTGGAGTGTATAGAATATCAAAAAAAAAGCTGAAAGGAGGCAAGTTGTAAAGTAACTAAAAATATGGACAAACTCAAAGCTGTGAAAGGATTCAGGACTCCAAGTATAGTCATAACTACAGCAGTAGTAATGTCAGAGCCATAGATGACTTTGGAAAACACTAATTGCCACTAATTACTAGGCAGATGAGAGGAATGATGCTCATTTCTATTTGGTATAATAAATTCTGAAGTACAGTGCGACAACTATGTATTTAGAGAAGCAGTTACATCATATAAATGAACATATTTTGTGTTCTTATAGCATAAGCATCATCTTGCCAGTGGTCAAAAGGAGCAATGAATCAGGGCTGAGTTGTCCTAGCACCCCAGCGTCAAAAGGAACTCCTGGCTTGGAAAGGCTCCTTTATCTGCTGTGGGTGGGCAGGTGCAGATCTCATTGCTTCTGACACTGGCACAGTTTAAAATAAAAAAGTTAATCTTATTATTGCTTAATTCAGGACTGCACAGAATTCTAAGGAGGAGTAAACTGTGGATTTTAGTTTATTTAAGTTTACAGCTGCTTTGGGGCTAATTCCACTGTCTGCTGGTGTTCAGATTCTGAGTTAGGTGCAACGTTTGCAATGGAATATATGTTTTGATGTGGCAAGGGAATCTACAGACCACAGTACTGGTTGATGACCATCTCATGGGATTAATACTTCAGATTTTATGGATGTGGAAAGGAAAATGATCCATGGTTTCCACTGCCACAGAGTGCCACGTGTCATTGACATGTGAAGAAGCTGTGCTCTGCAAGAAAAGAGAACTTCTCCAGAAAGGAGAATTTCTACGTATCTCAGGAGATAAGTACTTTGTTGTACTGATAGTGGAAAAACCTAAAGCACTCGAATCTGGGATTCGGTTTGGATTACCAGCTAAACATGTGTGACTGAACCCAGCTCCACTAAATACTCCCTTCAATAATCCCTGCTCTTTTATTACATTTTAGTATCAACAGTCCTCAGATCTGAGGGAGGAACAATGTCAGTTTTAAAAAAGCCCATATTTAAATGACTAAATGTTGCATGTATAAATAATAAAATGTGTATGCTATTATTATAGATATATATTTATACTTACAGGCTCATGTATATGTGTACACCCAAGCAATTTTTTCTACATACCTAGCACACATGTGCTTATATGTGTTTATAAATATATATATTTATATACAAACCTGCATATGTGTATTATTATAATGTATATGTGGTTTTACAAAATAGAAATGCACTAAAAGAAAGCAAACAAACAAACAAAACCCTTTTCAGCTTGTCATAGAAGGATACAGTTATGGAGATTTTGAAGTGAGAGCTATTGATGGAAAGGTATTTACATTCTTTTCAGAGCAGTAGTTACTAGTTAAGTCACCTGTGGCCATGTAGCTACTCCCTTATAGCGTACCTCCCTTTCACTCTTGCAAAAATATAAACTGTCCTTGTTTTCACTAACATATATGTTTTTCTAGTGTACAAAATCTATGTTGCCTTAAGAACCAGCAGAAATAAAATATATAGGCTAGAAGAACGCTTTATCTTCAGAGAAAATGAACTTTCTCCTGGCTGACAAAAAGAAAATTGTCTGCTAACTGTGAGGTTTACTTGGCTCAAGTGCATATTTAGCTTACATGGGTTTGCCATCGTACACTATGTAGAAAAAGTAAAGCAGAAAAGAGGCAGAAGCATGTAAACTGGGTGCTCTGTACCTGAAGATGAATGGGCTGCTACTGAAGAGAAACAGGATACAGTCTATTTAGCAGCTCCACTGCACAGTTCTAAACTGTGAGATATATACAGAGATCTGACATGAGGTCTGGGGCTTGTTCGTTGTTTGTTTTTTTTTTTTTTTTAAAGTCCCTGTAAAGCCTTTCATTTTAGAGAAAACTTGGCAGAAATTAGCATATGCAAATGTACCAAGCCGTGGAGGATTTTTGCTAGTGTGGAGTCTGCTGCAAGCTTCTAAGGTTATAACTGGGCATTTTGAAGCTGACATGGAACAGATAGGTCAATAACATTAAATGAAAAACAGTTTCAAGGCAGACTTAAGCAACCCTTTCTGATACCTCTGCTTAGTATTTATTCAACAAGTGTTTACCAGCATGCATGGGTAAGTAAGCACTACTCACTATGAGTAAACATTGGAGAATTAGACACTGAATAAAAGGTTTAAAAGCCTGTATTCCTGGCTTGTTTTGGTTTATTTGGGTTTGAGGCTTCATTTGACCAGTTTCTTAGAAGTACCTTCTAATTAGAAACATTAGTTTGGAAACAGCAGTTGTCTCCCTATGCTCTAGTTTGGACAGAAACCTCTTCAAGTACCTTGCGATACAATTGGTTGGGCTCTCTCAGGACCACTCACAACTGCTGAAATAATACTGACAGCTGCTTCCTGACAGGCCCAAGATTAACTATTACAGTTCACACAGATAATACATGTCTTTGTTTCCATGTATGCCAAGGAAGAGGCAGCACTGCCATCTGAAAGGGACACAAGTTCAAATTTTCCTTGGGTCAAGACAGCATTTCCAGGCAGGCCAGGACTTGGGAGTAGCAATAGCCTGCAGAAATGAAGGGTTGGAGGAAACAGGAACTGAACTCTACAAAAAAAAACGTGTGTCCAAGGAGGTCCTACTCTTTGCAATGAAGCCAGGATCTTAAACTGCAAACTTCTGTTGGCCAATGTACAAGACATAAAAACAATTTTAAAAAATTTAGACAAGTGAATATCTTGTATAGTAGACTGTAGAAAATGCAGTGATGGTGATGTTGCAATAATGACAAACAGCTAGCACGATAGCCAAGTTCTAACAGCAAAATGTTCCTTAATAATATTGGATGTTTTAATACTGGAGATAATACACAAGTTTTGATCCTTTATGCACCTAATAAATGCCTTGTCAGGGAAGACTGTGAATACTCAGCAGGGTATCTCTCAAGTCCTTTTTTCCTGCTGAAATGGCATGAAATGCAGGGGGGCACCATGTCTCAAATACTTTTATTTCACATAGGAGAGCTTTTCAACAGTGGCAGCGTGAAAAATACAGGTTAGGATTTGTAAGTATTCAGCTCTTCCAGAGTATTCTCATGTCATTCCAGGTCTGCTTAGTTCATCTGCCAAAATACATCTCTGTGGGACTGATCACAGCATCAAAAAATGGTTGACCAGAAAATCAGGAATTCCTTTTTTTAACCATTTGAGTTATATAATTTTTCTGAGTAAAAATAACTGGATTATTATGGTCAATGCTGATTACAACAGAATTCTTCATTTGTTTTCATTCATCGGGGTTCTCAGTGTCATATTTTTAAATGTTATTTTTATACTACCTGAAACTAATATATTCAGCACTATGGTTACATCAGACAAATCATGGCTCAAGGCAGTATCACAAACACCTGTGTGTAAGATGGGACAGAATTATATTTTCCACCCATGTGGCAAACTGGTGAAATATTCATACTCTACACTAAGCTCAACTCTAAGAAGAAGTCAGATGTACACCCAAAAGTTATTTTGGAAAAGGAACTGTATTTTATACCAAGAGAAAATATTATGCAGTAAATTTCGTTAACAAAAGTATTTGTCTTCTTGAAAAAGAATACAAAGGACGTATATGAATGGAAAGTATAATAAGTAATCAGTATTTTAGCAATTGAGGTATAAATATCTGATTAACTGTTGACTGAGGTTAAAAAAGTGTAAAAAGTACTAGAGTTAGATCACAGAGCTTGAGGGACTATTAGATGTGTTCTTTCATTAGTGATTAGCTCCCCAGTGACATCTGCTTTGCTTTTCCTGGAGAGGTTGGTATGTGGTGACGGGTAGAGAAAGTGAAATCTGCTTCAGTAAACTGAGGAACAAACCAAAGATATGTTGTCATAAGGTAGATCTTCCAGTGTAAGTTCCTAGGATCCCAACTGGTTTCACAAATAGTGAAGCCTCGCTAATCAACTTAATGTCGCTGTTCAACTACTAAATATACACGCCAATGTGAAACAGGGGGTCTTACAGAATGCCCATAACTAAGGGGTCTTTTACACTAATCTCACTGAATTTCACTGTTTAACTCTGAATCCTTTGTAGAAGCACTAAGTAAACCAGTCACTTTTAATCACCTCAAGGTGATAAAGGTTACAGAAAGCTGATACACTACAAACGACACTAGTTTACATCTTGAATATAATGAAATGATAGTTTATCTGCAGTGAACACTTGTGGTTATCTGCCAAAAACAGGTCAAAGGTTTCAGGCATTTTCTCCTGAAATTACTCAGTGCTGCCTCTAATGACTGATAATTGAAAGCAGAGGCTGGAAATATCAAATCTGGTAGGTGACAGATAAGCAACAGATTAATGCAAGTACTCTGTTACAGGACACTAAAAGGTCAGAGGCCCTAGGAATTAGCTATTGTGCTACTGTGAAAAGACAGACATCAAATAGCTGTTTACCTCATTCTTGCTCTTCCCTCCAACATTCAAATTCTAGAAACGCATACACAATTAGACTATTTAAAGTGCCTTTTTATAAAATAAGGCAATGTGTTTTCTAGGGTGTGTGAATAGGAGCAAAGATGTGATTCTGAAGCAGAATGAAAGATTTTTAAAAAAATAAATAAACAACAACAACAAAACACAACAAAAAAAATAAACATGCAAACAAAAAAACCCACAGCTATGCTAAGTGTACATATTGTAATGAAGTGCATGGGAGAGCAATTAAGAAG